TTTCTGAATAGTGCACATTAGATATAAGGTTTCTGAATAGTGCACATTAGATATGATAAGGTTTCTGAATAGTACACATTATATATGATAAGGTTTCTGGATAGTACACATTATCTATGATAAGGTTTCTGAATAGTACACATTAGATATGATAAGGTTTCTGAATAGTACACATTAGATATGATAAGGTTTCTGAATAGTCCGCATTAAATATGATAAGGTTTCTGAATAGTGCACATTAAATATGATAAGGTTTCTGAATAGTACACATTAGATATGATAAAGTTTCTGAATACATTTAGAATTTTCAAATAATTGTTAGAATTACGTATCGAATCGAAAACGTGAATTACCATAATCAGTGTAACAATGTCATATAAGGTCAAAATTATCGATTATCAAATAAGGTTAACAATGTATAAATTCAAAAACATGAATTATCAAACCAGCTAAACAATGTCCTATAAGATAAACATTATGAAGTATCAAATCAGCTGAAGAATGTCGTATCAGGTCAACAATATGAATTATCTAATCAGCTAAACAATGTACTAATTCAACAATATGAATTATCTAATCAGCTAAACAATGTACCAATTCAACAATATGAATTATCTAATCAGCTAAACAATGTACCAATTCAACAATATGAATTATCTAATCAGCTAAACAATGTACCAATTCAACAATATGAATTATCTAATCAGCTAAACAATGTACCAATTCAACAATATGAATAATCTAATCAGCTAAACAATGTACCAATTCAACAATATGGATTATCTAATCAGCTAAACAATGTACCAATTCAACAATATGAATTATCTAATCAGCTAAACAATGTTGTATCAACTGAAACATCTGAATTATCAAATGAACTAAACAATGTCGTATCTGGTCAACATTATAAATCATCTATCAAGCTATACAATGTCGTATAAGGTCAACATTATGAATTACCATATCAGATAAACAATATCGTATCAATTCAAGAATATGAATTATCAAATCAGCTAAACATTGTCTTATCAGGTTGACATTATGAATTATCAAATCAACTTGACAATGTCGTATCAATTCAACAATATGAAATATCAAATCAGTTGAAAAATGTCGTTTCAGGTCAACATTATGAAACATCAAATAAATTAGACAATATTGTAAAATGTAAACACTATGAATTATCAAATCAGCTGAAGAATGTCGTAACATGTCAGCATTATGAATTACCAAATAAACTAGACAATGTCGTATAAGGTCAACATTATGAATTATCAAATCAGCTGAAAAATGTCGTAACATGTCAGCATAATGAATTACCAAATAAACTAGACAATGTCGTATAAGGTAACATTATGAATTATCAAATCAGCTGAAAAATGTCGTAACATGTCAGCATTATGAATTACCAAATAAACTAGACAATGTCGTATAAGGTCAACATTATGAATTATCAAATCAGCTAAACAATGTCGTATAAATTCAACAATATGAATTATCAAATCAGGTAAACAATGTCAAATCAATTTAAAAATATGAATTATCAAATCAGCTAAACAATGTTGTATCAATTAAAAAATATGAATTGTCAAATCATCGTATCGATTCAACATTATGAATTATCAAATAAACTAGACAATGTTCTGTAAGGCCAACATTATGAATTATCGAATACAAATTAGAAAATGTCGTAAAATTTCAAAATTATGAATTACCAAATAAACTAGACAATGTCTTATAATGTCAACATTATGAATATATAATCAGCTAAACAATGTTGTATCAATTCAACATTATGATTATTATTATTATTATTATTATTATTATTATTATTATTGCCGTATAGGGTTAGCATTTCAAATTATCAAATTAGTGACTTCAGTTTTGTTTTTTTCTGTGTCCTCTAAATAAAACTAAATGTTATTACGGTTACACATATACCGGTATTGATGGAATTACAATGACAATATTTATGTTTGTTTTGCTGCATTATATCATTTGTCAAACTGAATTTTCACATATGGAAAACAAGGACACATCTAATACAAAAACATGACCTGATGAGGCGCTTTAACTGTTGAATGAATCTCCAATGCAAATTACAAATGGTGTCGATGTTATTGTCAGACATTATTAGGTCATTGTCAAGTTAGCCGCATTAAGCACAAATAACGACTCAATACTTTGAGTGCAGTATTACCGTATTACGTACTGTGGTTATTTTCTTCTTTCTTCTGCCGATTCACTATAAGATCTTTAGTTTGTGACGATAAAAGGGCGTGAAGTAGAATATTTTATAATAATTGTAGTGATATGCGTATTTTTCTTATATGTTGTCAGATAAATCATTGCAGCACTCAAGCCCCTATATGGATGAATGTGGGCAGTGGCTCAATGCCAAGTGTTGGCGAGACGAGGAAGGCAACAGCATGTGCCGCATTTACACGAAATGCTCAAACGGAATCGCCTTCTAATTGCTGTATTCTGCGTATAGAAACAAAAATCAAGAATTGTGGAAATTATTATGTTTATTTCTTGTCCCCACCACAAAGTTGTTTTATGGCATATTGTACGCAAGGTGAGTTACCACACGAATACAAGACGTTATGCAGTGTCATTGTGTTCATTACATTTCAGGGAATTTCTCTCACAATTGCGACCTTCCTTAATCTGTCATCTGATTTTTACACGCAGAGCCACGAGAAGCATGTGGGGACGGGGAATATTCCAAAGATGGATACCAACCATGTAGACGTAAGTTATATGTCTGAATATAGCATATAAATCAGAAAGTATAATGATAATTAACCTTGATCAACTGAATCCACTCTTTACAAAATGATGAGACATTTTCTCGATTGCCCTCAAATTGTCTCAAATATTGAGACGAATATTGCACCCACGTAAAGTTATTTCTCAAGTGGAGCTAAACAAGATAAGAAAGATGCACTGATAAAAAAAATAAAAAAATAAAAGAGATGCTGGTCACTGGAGCCACCAGGGGGTGGGGTATACAGTACACAAATACAATTAAGAGACTTGATCAATGCTGCAGGGAACACTCCACTCTCCGGTGAACAACAATGTACAATGTTGAGTTCCTTCGTATCTGCCACATTGTCGAAGCAGCTGCACTGCAATGTAAACTCGTCGCTTATGTTCAGGTAGTATCGGCAACTGGACTGCTATATGCTGCTACTGGTAGCACCGGTACAACGCGAGTAGTTCAGGCAGTGAGCTTCAGTGATTCCTGTTGATCAGCAGGGATTACTGCACAGCACGTCTGCATATGTACCCCTGTATAGGGTACAGCTCACTGGAGTCAGGAATCAGCATCACAAGATGTTAAGGATCAAGTCAGGTCACCTTCTTGACTAAAGACTTTCACACTTGCATCAACTTAAATACTAAAAATAAACATGCTACGAGTATCCAAACATGTGCGCTTTTCATTCACACTGTCAGGGCTCTGTACTTTTCACTTACAATTTATGTCACAATATATATATATTGCTAGTACAAGTGACTTGTTAATCGTGACAAAAAAGCTTTAAATTAAAACGAGGTTGCCATGAGATACAAGGATTGTACTGTGCCCTAAACTATTGGACGAATGGAAACAATCTGTCTGAAAAGAGGGAGACCAATTTCAGTGGCTAAACACCATGAGCCGTGTTTCCGTTACCGATAGTAATACAATACTTTGCTTCCCGGTATTGCCCGGTATTGCTTTGTCTACCTTGTGTACCCCTCATATGCTTTAATCGGGCGATAAATATGATGTGTGTATGAAAGACACCAGAATCTTAACTGCTAATTTATTTGTTTACATTATGTATATGTATCAAACCATCGCACAATCACAATTAATATATTTATTTCCTTCATTTTTCAGCGGCACACCCATACCTGATATCAGATCCACATATAAGACCGATTGTTGCAGAAAATAGAGTATATTTACAATGTACCATCCTTCCTCCTGTCACTAACGTAACGCTTGACGTTGGCTTTACTGTGAGATGGTTAAAGGTGAGATAATTGCACTATTAAGTCTCAGTATTAAGTAAATCATCAAATATATTTTGTATTGTGTTTGTTTGCCTATTGTAGGTTGTTAATTATATGTATACCAGTATTTGCTTGTAAATATTGACAGAGGGAGTCACATCGTCTATCACATGGGCTTATTTTTACAGCTCGGTGATCATGGTGACAGAACAGAACTCCTCGCAGCAGATATTGAAAAAATGTTTTCACGACTGGAAGTGAAAGACAATTTGTTAATGGGAGAACTTGTAAGTGAAATATTCTATTCGTCTGATACTAATCTAATAAGATTATATACATATTTATTGAAGATGATTCCTGTTATATTGTAAAATAAATGCAAACCAGTTTAGATGAAACTATAACATTCAGTGATGAGAACTTTCATTCAACGGCAACCCAGCTACGGACCAAGGAATTGTAATAGTGTATCACAGATTTCGTATTGGAAATATTTGTAATATATGTATTCGCCATGAGTTGTAGCATTGTTTTTATTTCATTTTAATTTAAGGTAATTTGTGAAATAAAGGCATATTATTTTGAGACTATTAACTTGAAAAGTGATAAACGAGAAAGCAGTCCATTCTTTGCAGGAATAAATGTAAGTACAACAATATTGCTAAGTCGATATTTATCGAATGGCAATTATAGACTTACAGTTGTTCAGTAGAATGAACAATGTAATATAGATTCCCACTCTTCCCAGTAACGCATGGCAGAGGGAATGGTGTCTATAATAATGCAGCTTTATGTAGAGCTGACCCTCATTTATTGGTTGGATAGGCGAAATTGTTAACATATAACGGTTTACGCTCGTGAAATGTGTTCAACATGGGTTTAGGAGTTTATCAATTTAGGACAGATCTGTTCAATTACTTGTATGAATATTACAAAAATATGGATTAGCATACATTATCTCTTCCATATCCATGCATTTCAATTGATATTTTTTATTATTGTATTTTTGTTTAACTCTGTGTTGCAGCCAGGATGTTTTGTGAGACGACAATGTTTCTCATGCACATTAATTTTGTGAGACATTTGCATTTTTGGGCAGACAATAATAAAGCAGTTCAAAATCAATTTTACAAAAAAGTATTTCTAAAAAAAAAATAAGCATGCAATACATAAAGTTGCGTGTTACAAACTACTACGAGTGTTCCACAGATTATTGGTAAGTAAAATGTTAACAATAAAAATATGTCATAATGTTGCCAAATACACTAGACAAGCATGTTATGTTATTAACAATTTCAACCAACTTTAATTCTCAAATAAAAAAATAAGCATGCAATTTTTACTGTGTTATTGTGAAGACCACTTGTGAAGCTGTATCATTATTTGTAGTGCTAATAATAAGTGACATCATCGTAAGACATTATCAGAATGACTGACCTTTGGTTAACCTTACACTCAGCAGGGAGCTCACAGTCACGCAATTGCGTTATTAATTACCAAGACTGAAACAGTTAAGAAGTTTTATTGAATATACGTCTCTGTTTTAACTGCCTCCATTCATTTAATGCAACATCAAATGGGGAATGTTTTATGGATGATCCCTTAGCAGAGATCAGTGACAATACATGCAGTCTCTCTACTTCTAAGCAGTTTTGTGTCTTTGTTTTGATTTTATTTTGTACTGAAAATTCGTGTTCACAATCAGCGGTTTGTACTGGCAAAACCAAAGCTATTTTCGCAAGTTTAAGTAAATTATGAAGTGAGGCACAGTGATAGGTGTACAATAGTTTTCACAAAATTGCCAAATTTCGGGTTTTGTTCCCAGCTAGTCTGATATCGGCGTTCAAAAGTCTTTTACTTTTTAGACGAAGGTTCACCTTATTCAACTTCATGGTCACTTAATGACTCAGACCTTTTCAGCAATAAATTTGAAGCCCCATTGCTTGGGGAAAAAAGCGTAATACGCTTTTGTCGCCCTGTCGTAACTACAAGAAATTGGGTTTACTCCTATACAATATCTCCTTTGGCATGGCATAATTTCCGCTATACCACTAGAATGGGGAGGCTGTACTCCCTTTTTTGTTAGACCAGAATTGCCTATTGGTTTGTACAACATATTTTGTCCATTGAATATGGTAACATGTAAAGTAATACGGACTGCTCTTTAATCTCTTTATTTTATTCCACCAAAATGTAAAACTTATTTTCAGCAGTTGTTTAAATTAAATGAAATTAAGTGAGAAATTATTATCAAGTTACCATTGAAACAAAACTGCAAGAATTCCAGTGGAAACTAAATCATAATGTTTTATTTACGAATACTATGCTTTACCGTATGAGATCTCCTCTCGTCACCTCTAGCCTTTGTTCTTTTTAATAGCGATGAAACTCTAACACATTTATTCGTTACATGCAACTATGCCACTGTCCTTTGGACATCTATATGTAATAGATAGGGTGAATTTTTGAATACCCCGGACACTTTCACAGATATTCAAATTTTGCTAGGCGATGATGAGTTCTCAAGTTTATTGAACTATATCATTATTGTAACTAAACAAATGATTTATTCCTGTAAATTAAATGGCACTCCACCTTCATTTCGTCTGGTGGAAAAAAAGTTATGGAAACAAAAGAAATGGAATATTGTATATGTAGTAAAAATAGCACTATCGAATTGTTTCAGGTTAAGTGGGGAAACTTTACCTAATGTTGGTTTGTGCATCTTACAATCCACATTTTTTTAATACAATTGTTAATTACTTGGTAATCTGTCTTCATTATTTGTTTGTTTTCTTTTTTTGTTTTACTTTTTTTTGTAAATTACTGTTTTTTTTGGTATTTATCAAAGTCCTGTAATATTTTGTTTATGAGTAATAAATTTGAAAAAAAATCAAATTTGTGTAAAAATCGCAACAATGTTTACTTTACAATGATTCAATCACGAAAAAAACTGAGTAAACCAAGGCAATGACCCAGTGATAAGCCAAATGCGCGACATGGCTCACCATTTTAGTGCGTCCACTGTGGCCCAGGGTTTGTAAAATAACGCGTCATTGCTGTGAATTTTGCAAGAATGTCGCGATGACCCAGCCTGGCGGCAACACTGTATAACTATGAGTAAATGGTTCGTTGATAACATAACCCATAATCCCTTAGATGACCCGCTCTTTGGAAAATGATATTGACGTTACCTTTGCCACCATAGCGACATATTTATTCCGTAAACATGTACGTATTTGTCACTGTTTGAACATCTTTCGTATATGCAGATTGTACCAAACTCTCTGACACTGGCTGAAAATGGTACATTTCATATGGTTACTATGGAAACAACAATACCTATTGTTTGCAACGACCCATTATTGAATCAGTGCAGTATAACTGTGAATATCCAAACCAGGGACGAAGGTATGTACACATATTTACATGAGTGTATCAATATATATATATATATATATATATATATATATATATACATGAATATATCAATACACATATATAATGAATATATATTAATACATATATATATACATGAATATATTAATGCACTAATATTAATAATTATCTATTTACTACAATTATAGATGGTCTAAACCTCCGAGATGATATCGTGCTTTCTAGATGTTCAATTCATTTTGTACCACAACTCTGTAAAGAACTGCATTGCGGGATTGAAACCATCCTTGTTACAGCTGTGACAGACTTTGCTGAAGATGGAGATAGAAGAATTACCATAGTGACTGAAAGCATTGAAAGCAGTAATGCCATTTGGCATGGGTATGACCCTGCTGATATTCAGGCATGTCAACCTTTTTTTTTAATCCTAATGACAAATGCTAATTAAACTAGAAGACAATTTAAGAATGTGAATATCCTTACTCATGACTATTCTGTTATTATTTTCTTATAATAACCAGATGCAGATCTCTCACAATGTTCCTGTTTTTGTTGAAACCAGATGTAGATTTCCCCCTGACAATTCAAACATGATGTTTAACTTTTTTATTGCTACTAAAATACCGGTTTACTGTCCAATATTGAGTTCTTTTGGAAACTGCAAAGAAAATGAAGTGACGTGAAGTGAAGCGGATGTCATAGTAGTGGCAAAATATTGTAGGTGACTGTGAATATAGTTCCATTTGTTCATGTTCTAGTTGGCGACTGTAATAATCTTTTTTTATTGTAGGTGACTATAAATATAGTTCCATTCGTTGATTGTGTAGTCATTTATTGGTAATTTAGTAGTCTTTTTTTATTTTAGGTGATGGTGAAAGATATTCCGACATCCATGTGTTATTCATTCACGGACCCACATTTTATAACTCTAGACGGAAGGTAATACTTATTGTATTTTGATCATGTTTGTAGTAGATATGGTGGTGTTACATCTGCAGCATTCTCCTTTTTCTACGAGAAAGGAGATTTTGGTGACACCATATCATTGTCATTGTCGCTGTTCATGACATATACAGCTTTTGTTATCATCTTCTACCACGTTTGTTCAATTTTTAGTAGTATTACGTACTAAGTTTTGTTTTTTGAGCAATTTATTTAACTTTGCGAATGATGACTGTAATGGCTACAGATGAACTTCTCACTTCTGATCTTTATTAGTCCAAAAGTAACTATTTGCCCACTCAACTTGAGTCTGTTACATCAATACATATGGAGAATGATTAACTAAAATAAAGAAAATACAAACAATATAGGCATAGTCAAATAGAGCTATGAAAAGCCCTAACCCTACTTAAAGTACATATACAAAAAATAAAAACCTACATAACGTCTAATAAGCTGACTAAGAGCAACTAAATGAATCGTACAGTACATCGATAAATTACGAAATAAATGTATTAATATATGCAGTAAGATAGTCAGTACGATATCAGAAAATCAAAATGCACATGGAGTGACATACAGTA